ATAAATCATAAAGATTTCTATGATTTGAACAGTTTAAAGGTTTTTAAAGTTGAAAACTGTTTCCTAAAAACAATAGCAGAACAATCATTTGGGAAAATGAGAAATGTTGAAATGTTACTTTTAGACAATACCATTTTCCCAACATCATCTATAAAATATTTTACAAACTATATGCACAAGTTGAAAATTGTTGAAAGTGAAAGTTTTCATTTATGCTGTCTAATATGGAAAATGCTTGGAAAACATGTGAAATGTCAACCAAAACCATCTGGTTTCCTGACTTGTAAAAGTATCATACCATCATCATTTTTGAGAATACTCTTTTGGTTAATTGGAATAATTGGTGTAATTGGAAATTTATTTGTTTTGATGATGACAATAAAAATAAATATGAAATCCAAATTATTTCGACTCTGTTTGATAATTGGAGATTTACAAACAGCAAGTTATGTCCTGTCTATTGCAGTTGCTGACTATTACTTTAGTTTTTCAAGTTATCTAGAAAATGAAGAAACTTGGAGGTTTAGCAATGGATGTACCCTCCTAGGTACAATTTTAACATTTTCACTATTACTTTCAATGTTTTCAGTTTTATGTCTGGCAATTGAACGTTATGAAGCAATCGTAAATCCATTAACATGACCTTTTATATTAAGATATCGAATTGCTGTATTAACTATTGGATTTTTCAGTGTACTTCTTTTATCAATAATACCAATAATATTTTTTCAAGTATTAGCAAAAACTATTCCTTTTTTTAGTTTTTAGATTTTTTCTTTTTGCCTTTAATGAACTTTTCTTTCCAGAAATTTTACACAAAATCAACAATTTGTTTTAATATACAAGTTCGAAGTGACAAAACCAATGGTTGGGTTTATTCATTTCTTGTATTTGGTATATTGTTCTTTGCAATAAGCATTGTATTGTGTTGTTTGTATGGAAAAATTACTTTAAAAGTAAATAACATTGTTTTATCAAAAAAGAGATCTTTGTCAAAGAATATTTATATTCTAACAATCTCAAATGTTTTATGTTGGTTACCAATTTCAGTCTTATGTGAGGGTTTTTTCTGTAACCCATTCAAGTTAACTTAATTAGTTTTCTATATTTTTTTTTTAGCAATTCTATCAAAACTGCTGTACATCAACATAAAAAATGATGTGTACACAATTTTTGTCATATCCCTTATCCCATTAAACTCACTACTTAATCCGTACATTTTTTGTTTTGACCAATGCATGATTTGGAATAAAAGAAGAAAGTTGAGGAATACTCGAAATAAGTCTTAATTTTTATAAATTTTTCCCAATACTTTTTTTACAAATGTAATTTATTTTGATAAAAACTTCCTTCAGACAACTTCTCATCAAGTCAATAACTGATCAAATTAAAACTCAGTGTCTTTTTCTTTCTATTTTCTTCATCCCAACATACTCATATTTTTCCCTTTTTTTCAATCTTCAGATATACAATTCTTTAATAATAGGATCAAAGCAACTTCCAGTTTTCTAACTGCCAAAAGCTTTTCATACAGTGAAGAATTTTTTACAAATTTTGAATATTTGAAATGTTTTATATATTCAATCAAATTTTTAAAACATATCCATTCAAATTCATTAACATTTGCCAAAGAAGATTTTGAAAGTATCTTATATTTAAAGGTTTCAATTTTTTTTCTAGTCTTAGTTTTTGAAAAATAAAAATATTCTTTTTATTTTGTTGATTTTAAAAGTTGGATCTTTATCAAAAATATGTCTACTTTATTCATTGTGAAGATTTTCAACTCACAGCAAATACAGATTTAAGTAAAGATATTATGAAGTTTGGAATCTTTGTTAGAAAATTTCTCCAAAGAAATATTCAATATAAAGTAAAAGAATGACTCATTTTCAGGTCTTGTAAAAACCTATTTGTTTTTTGTATCTTTCATGTAAAATACTACTAAATTTTTCTTATGTATACAATAAACATTTTGAATATTTGTACTCAATAGACACTGGCAAATGTACATATTCATGTTTTTATTGTGCACTAGACATATACACTCATCAACATACAGGGTTTAGGATTAGGGTTGGGTTGGGGTTTGCCCCCTTCCCTTCCCTCTCTGTCATTTACCCATAGAGAAAAGCACACATTGCTCTAAGATACAGATACTACAGAAAACATCCTCAAATGTGTGGTTTTACCCAAATTTTTACCTAATTTTATTTCTTTTATTTATTAAAGATCTCTTCAAAAACATCTTCTTCTTTCATTTCATTATTTTCTTTTTTAACCTTTTTTTTTACTGTCTAATTGCCTGGAATAATTTTCTCAGAGATAATTTAGAGTTTCTAATTTTATTAATGAGTGCATTTATTGTTTCTAATTTATAATCATTTTCCATAAAGCTTCTGATATTCTCTTTTCCTTGTTCATAATTATAGATGTTCTCTTGTACTAGATAGATATTAGCATAAAAGAAATTGACTTTTTCCTTAAGTAATTGTTGTAATTCCACTTTGTGTTTTCTCAAAAGTAGTCTTGTAAGGGCATCCATATTATTTTTGTACAACCTTTTTACCTTCTTTTCTCTCAAATTGTGTTCTTTTCTTTCTAGGTTGAAGAGAGCTGCATTAAAACTTTCAGTCTCATTTATATGATCTTAAAAAAGTGAAAGTAGAAAAAATAGCTACTTATACTTTCATTTATACTTTTACTTTTCTATTCACAGTTTTTTGTCTAAAGTACATTTTGTCAAGTTCAATATTGATGACTCATCAGAGTCAACAAACTTTTACTTACAGAGAGGTTGAAGATTTCCAATATTTTCTTCTTTGGGTTTGATTCAGTATATATATATATATTGTAGTATTAAAAGTACTATGGCAGAGATCATTTTTAAGGTAAATTTTCTGAAGTTGCTATGTTTGTTAAAGAGTTTTTAAAAATTTTTTGAAGATTCATCATAAAATATGCAAATCTAAAAACTTTCTGGAATGTTTTCAAGGCCAAAAGCAATGTGTTGTACAAATTCTTGTAAAATCTGACCAAATCTAGTTTTTAACAATATTATTTGATCTATTTTTTGTTAGGTCTAGCAGAAAGGAATTCTGCTTGATACAAGTCATAATATTCTCTCTGGCTGAGCTTCAAAGATTGTAAATTTTCAGATTTCTGACTTTCCAATGTTGGGGCAAGCTTTGATTCAAGTCCAGCCTGGCACAGTGTTAGATTTTGGAGTTGGAAAAATTTCAGTAAGACTTTTGTTTCATAGTGTTAGCTTTTAATACTTTAAAAAGAACTATATTTCGTAGCATTTCCCAGAGTCACCCTTTTAAATTAGTGTAGAAAATACCAACCAATATGACATTCAAGGTGTTACAACCTCTTGTGAACCTTATTTTTTTTCCAACCATGCCAAATGGTTAGATTAAATTTCACCATTTTTTTGAATAACCAAAGATATTGAAAATCTACAGAATGAATGTTTTAATTTTTAAAAAATTGATTTTAAATGGAAAAAAAAATTTTT